GGTGTTCCTGATCGGGTGAACGATGAGGTTTTTATTGCAATGTCCAAGGCACTCAATTTCATAAATCCTGATGAGCTATCTATGCAGTGCATTTTGATTGCTTTGAACAGATTTCTTCAGGTATAGCTGCTGTTGCTTTATTTAACTGTGTAATATATTACTTGCCTGTTCTGTTTGGAGAAATAGCCTACATATGTCGATTCTTATTTTCTTGTCTATGTTCTTGTTTTTACTTGAGAAAATGCTAATATGTACCTGCAATGTTAAGATACCTTGTGAGTCTTTGAAAAGATTACTTTGTGTAAATGCGCAGGAGAAGCATGGTTCCAAAATGGCATTCTTGGATGGTAATCCACCTGAAAGGCTATGCATGCCTATTGTTGATCACATTCGGTCTAGGGGCGGAGAGGTCCGCTTGAATTCTCGTATTAAGAAGATAGAGCTGAATCCTGATGGAACTGTAAAACACTTCGCACTTAGCGATGGAACTCAAATAACTGGAGATGCTTATGTTTGTGCAACACCAGGTGTGATTTGTTTCCAATAAAGAATAAACCTTGTTTCCTGTGCAGCTATTCAATTTAACTGACTAGTCTTTGTATTTAGTTGATATCTTCAAGCTTCTTGTACCTCAAGAGTGGAGTGAAATTACTTACTTCAAGAAGCTGGAGAAGTTGGTGGGAGTTCCTGTTATCAATGTTCATATATGGTTAGTTGATTGAAATATTTGGTTCTGAATTGGAAATGACTTGATTCCCTTGTCTGGTTGTGCTTGTTCCTCAAGACATTCCTGAAGCTTTGCTGAGAATTTCTGTTGTTTTGAATACCTCAGGTTTGACAGAAAACTGAAAAACACATATGACCATCTTCTTTTCAGCAGGTATCTCTCCTAGCTGTAGTTCATGCATTTTTTGTGCAGTAAATCTTGATTATGATTATTTATCAAGATATTTTATGTGCTATTCTGGTTGCACTGTCGTTCATGTTTGAGTGTCCATGTTCGGTATTAAATACTGTATGCCTTGTTTGTTTTCTTTTCAGGAGTTCACTTTTAAGTGTCTATGCAGACATGTCAGTAACCTGCAAGGTACTAACTTGAGGAGCTTATCATCATTCGATAATCACTAGCATGCTATATCGTCATTGTTTCTAGGGCCTCAGGGAACATGTGTCATCCACCTGAATTTTACTTTATTAACTACGATTTAGAAGGAATTCATTATTAAGTGGAAATATAAATATCTTGCGCGTTATGAATTTTAGTCATGTGCGCACATAGATGTATTAAGGTGAACATGTCTGTATGAATCACGATATGTTTGGTAGCAAATGACATGGATGCACACTCACCTGTTTCTTTCCTTCTGTTTTTCTAATTCTTTACAGGAATACTATGATCCAAACCGTTCAATGCTGGAGTTGGTCTTTGCTCCTGCTGACGAATGGATTGGTCGAAGTGACACTGAAATCATCGATGCAACTATGGAAGAGCTAGCCAAGTTATTTCCTGATGAAATTGCTGCCGATCAGAATAAAGCAAAGATTCTTAAGTATCATGTTGTGAAGACACCGAGGTGAGGATATTTGCCAAAGACCCTTCCTGATAGATAATCATAAGTAGCTCAAGCTCTGATAGTTTTATGTGTTGTTTCCTTATGTTCGTATTCTGGCTTGCTTTGACAGATCGGTTTACAAAACTGTCCCAAACTGTGAGCCTTGCCGACCTCTCCAAAGGTCACCGATCGAAGGTTTCTATCTGGCTGGTGATTACACAAAGCAGAAATACTTGGCTTCCATGGAAGGTGCAGTTTTATCCGGGAAGCTTTGCGCCCAGTCTATAGTGCAGGTAAATACTCACCATGGTCCTGGTTGTACATAAAAGCATCAGTTTGCTGTGTTGTTGAATTCATTTCAGTATGATACATGTTTTGCGTCTAATGAATTAACATTTACTGCTTTCAGGATTATAGCAGGCTCGCTCTCAGGAGCCAGAAAAGCCTACAATCCGAAGAAGTTCCTGTCCCATCTTAGTTGTAGTTAGTTTAGCTATCGTCATCCCCACTCGGTGCCATCTTATCGCCTATTTTGTTTTCATGGGAACCCACCAAATGGTCATGTTGGAGACACCTGTTATGGTCCTTTGACAATTCTTTAGAGATGAATTGTGACTGTAGTTGATACCATATTCGGAAAAAAGCGATATATATGTAAAAGGACATGCATAGCAATTGTTAAACCTTTGGGAAAGCAAAAGCGATAAAGAGATCTCAGAGAGATATTGTGTTGTAGCACTTTCAGATGATGGTTCCTATCAATCGGTTAATTCATCCCGCATGGGAAGATTTGTCCATTGTGCTTGAGGTAAGCTTGGTCAGCAAACCTTTGGTGGTCACTGCTCCCTGAACTTTATCAGGAGAGCTGCTGTAGCAGTCACTGAACATAGACAATCCCGAAGCTGTGCGCCGTTTTATCTTGTTGGTTAGTATTAAGCACAGGGAGGTGCGGAATGGACTTTGGCCGTCAAGATATTTTTCCTCCGATTCCTAGCGTCTCAATAATTGTCCTTTTGAACCCAGATATTATCACTGGTCACATTTCTCTTATCTGTTTGTACTGGACTATACTATGGCTGTGTTTAGTTCGTGAAATTTGGGAATTTGGTTAATGTAGCACTTTCGTTTTTAGTTGACAATTAGTGTTTAATCATGAACTAATTAGGCTTAAAACGTTTGTCTCGCGATTTCCAATCAAACTGTGCAATGAGTTTTTTTTTCGTCTACATTTAATACTCCATACACGTATCATAAAATTCGATGTGATAGCTACTGCAGTATTTTTTTGAAAAAATTTTGGGAACTAAACACAGCCTACATAGGAGTGTTTATTATCTGGCAACTGGCATCCAGCAAGCTGGATGTGTGCCTCTGATGTTACAGCCCTGTTTGGTTCCCCGATGCCGCATCGACGACGCTCGGAGGCCGCGTTTTGGGAATCGCGGGATCTAGTTCATTTCATCGGACTCCACGCCGCGGGCGACTGCGAGTCGCGCGGCCGTCGCGGGGTGTTCGGCGGGTTTATCCTGCTTATCTCGCTCAATCGGTACGCGAACGCGGAAAAACGTGAAACCAAACAGCGCCTACATCTACCTGAATGAAGTGGTGTGACTGGACCAAGAAAGCATCAAAACAATATACCTTTTCTTGTTTTTTTAAAGGCAAAAACTGTAGGGGAGATCTCCACCTGCACTTCATTTTATAAATTTTATAAAGTTACAAAGGAGGGACTTACAAAAGTCTTTAACTGTATGCATCTAGCCAAAAATAAAAAGATCTTTCTTGTTGGACGAGGCTAGCGTCTGGACGTCTAAACGGATGTGCGAGTCCGAACGTCCATGCAGTCCGCCTTCGCCCTACCTACCCCTATCTCTGCGTCCGTCGGTCCTTCCCCTGACCCCCCCCCTCCTGTCTGTTCGGGATGAACGGCGTTCGCCAAATACACAAAAGGAAACGGAAAGTGAGCCCAGATGCTACTTGCATGGGCCCAACCTTACTTCCAGGCCGACCTGCTTTAGCAACCGTGCCTGGTACAGTACTAGTTGCTTAAGGCCCAGCTTTGTTCCCGTGCCTAGCAAAATAAATAAATAAATAAAATAGTAGTGCTTGTTGCAATGCAGGGGCGAAGCTGTAGTGTCAGTAGGGGGTGCAAAGGCACCCCAAAAATTCAAAAATTAGTTATAGTGATCAAATTTTCACCATATATGTACCCCATGGCATAATTCTATGTACCCAAAATTAGTTATAGTGATCAAATTTTCACCATATATATACTCCTATGGCATAATTCTATGCACCCACAAACAAGTGCACCCTCTGAATTTTCTCTAGCTTCACCACTATTGCAGTAGGGTGCACTAGACTGGAGCACCATTCAGGCGTGTCCAGTGTCGAGTGCTGACTAGTCGGCGGGAGTCTGGCCTGGCGAGGTGATCGGTGAAGCAACGTCAACAACCGCAGAAGCCAAGCCCGGCCGACACACGGCCTGCCACCTGCACCGGCACCGAAACTTCCGACATGGGTTGAAACTTTCAATGATGGAACATCTTTTATCATCTCGACGAGAAAAATGCAATGATAAAATCCATTTAACATTTTGACAACTTCATAAAATTGTCAAAAAAAATTAATGAATAGTAAGGGTTTTAGAGCTCTACTAGAAAAAAGGACAATTTTGGTTATCAACACAGCTCCTTCCAAATCCTCACATGGTTATCATCATCTCCACCGTGTTTCTAGCCTTGCTCAAGTCCATCTTAGATCATCACATTTACCCATCAGGCCAATAGGTTTCGGCTCAATTGACCAATTTTAGACTTTAAGATTGACCATGTAACTATTGATCCTACTTTTATGGATCGAATCAACTGTCAAATGAGTCTACCCGGCCCTTTCCCGTTCTTATCCTAAACGAGACACAGTGTGGAGTGTGTGGCTAAATTAGTCAATTGGGATCGCTCGGCGCCTCGGCCGCTCCCCCGTCGCGCACGTCCTGACTCACGCCCCGTTCGTTTGGGCTAGTTTGATTTATAAGCTGTATTTTTTCCAGTCAACGAATAATAATTTTCTCTTATACCAAATCAGTTCATAGTACTTTTAATCATGCCTTATCAGCCAAGCAAGCCCAATCCAACAGCGTGTGTCCTCAGGTGATCCGGTGCGTTGCGAGTTGCGACGTCCTCCCAGCTCCCGCCCGCCCGTCTCCAAGCCTCCGCCCGAGTCACGTGGTGCCGGACGCGGCCGCCAATCGGCAGGCGATACTCGCCGGCCGGCCGGCCGACCGACCGAGACCACACGATAAGTTTGTCGTAGTACACTTACAGTTCTCGCGGATTCTCGCCGTGCCCGGCCCGGCCGCACATTGGGCGCGCCGCGTGATTTGATCCATCGATCCTTGCGCAGTTGCGCTTCCCGGATCGTCCGTGGGAAGAACCGAACGCCTAGTTCATGGCGGCGGCGGCGGCGACCAGGGTGATCGGATCGAAGCCATCGGACTGCTTCCAGTTCCAGGACCCTAACACCTGGTACGTCCTACATTTCCTATCCCCAGCCAGCCATGGCCACTGTCCCGTCGGCATGCAGATCGGTTGAGGATTTATTTGTTTTTTTACTTTTGTTTTGTTTCAAGTTGCAGCGCCGGCATAGTTAGAATTTCTTAATTGCATCCGTTGTCTTCATCATGCTATAATCTGATCAAAGTTTCCATGTAGGATCCATGATCTTGTAGTAGTAGTAGTTAATTACCGATCCTAATTCCATAACCAAATTTGGATCATACAATACAAATAGGTCCTGGTTTTGTTCCTGTTTTCCGTTTTTTTTTTCAAGTTCAGATAACACCTTTCTGAAAACCTTACAACAAAGATATTTCTGAACCACTGATCTTTGGTACCTCCCCTGTACACCTTGGAGCTCTTGCAGGACTTGCATCACGGAGCTTGCAAGCGATGTGGTTGTCCAAGTAGGAGAGATGTCCTTCCACCTCCACAAGGTATTCTCATTTCTCAACGCTAGAGGATATTTGCCCCACGGAATGAATTAAAATTCCAGGACATGAATCTATGTGATGTGATGACATGCTTTTAGACTGTCAGATAACTTGCAAGTTTCGAATGCTGACGACGTGCAAGGTGCAACTAAATCCCATCTGCATCATTCAGATGCCGTTGATCAGCCGTAGCGGTACGCTGAAGAAGCTTGTGAACGAGTCCACCGGCGACGACGACGGCGGCGATGACAGCAAACCGTGCACCGTGCGTCTGGATGACGTCCCCGGCGGGGCGGAGGCGTTCCTGCTGGCGGCCAGGTTCTGCTACGACGTCCAGACAGAGCTGAAGGCGGGCAACGTCGTGCTGCTGCGGTGCGCGGCGGAGCACCTCGCCATGACCGAGGACTACGGCGAAGGGAACCTGGTGGAGCAGGCGGAGTCGTTCCTGTCCGAGGTGCTGGCCGGCTGGGACGACACGGTGCGCGCGCTGGACGCGTGCGACGACGACGCCGTGCTCCCTGCCGCCGAGGACCTGCTCATCTTGCCGCGGTGCATCGACTCGCTGGCGGACAAGGCCTGCGCCGACCCGACGCTCTCCGGGTGGCCGATGCTGGAGTACTTCACAGCGAAGAGCCTCGAGGAGACGGCGATCTGGAACGGCATCGGCGCCGCCGGGAGGCCGCGGTCGCCGGGCGCGGACTGGTGGTACGAGCAGGCGTCCTCGTTCGGGCTGCCCGTATACAAGCGGCTCATCGCGGCGGTGCTGTCCAGGGGCATGAGCCCCGAGAACGTCGCCGGCTCGCTGATGCACTACGCCAGGTGCCACCTCTCCGGGCTCAGGTGGCGAGGAGACAACAGCGACGGCAGCAGCCGCGGCAGAGCCGGAGCGTCGGGGACCGCGGCCGTGCTCTCGGCCGGCGACCAGAGGACACTCCTGGAGGAGATTGTCGCGCTGCTCCCTGTCCAGAAGAGCGTCACCCCGACGCGGTTCCTGCTTGGTCTGCTCCGCGTCGCGACGGTCCTGCACGCCGCCGCGGCGTGCCGGGACGCGCTGGAGAGGAGGGCCGGCAACCAGCTGGAGGAGGCCGCGCTGGGGGACCTGCTGATACCGAACACCGGGTACTCCGCGGAGACCCTCTACGACGTGGACAGCTTTCAGCGGATGTTGGAGCAGTTCATGGTGACGACCCCGCCTGCGTTCGCCGCGTCGCCGGAGACCACGGACGAGGGACAGCTGGTCGACGCTCCGCCGGCCGAGCTCATGCCAGTCAGCTCGGTGGCCAAGCTAGTCGACGGGTACCTCGCCGAGGTCGGGACGGACGCCAACCTCAAGCCCTCCAAGTTCCAGACCATCGCCGCGCTCGTCCCAGCCTACGCCCGGGCAATCGATGACGGCCTCTACCGTGCCATTGATATCTACCTCAAGGTAACAAACAGTTCACCATTGTTCTTGATCGATCTGCCTGCTGCACCTGAGCCTTGAATGAATCGATTGAATAATGATCGTGTGAATATGTGATGAAACGTACACTTGTGTGTGTGTGCGCGTGGCGCGATGCAGGCACACCCGTGGCTGACGGACTCGGAGCGGGAGCAGCTGTGCCGGCTGATGAACTGCCAGAAGCTGTCGCTGGAGGCGTGCACGCACGCGGCGCAGAACGAGCGGCTGCCACTGCGGGTGGTGGTGCAGGTGCTCTTCTTCGAGCAGCTGCGGCTGCGCACCACGGTGGCCGGGTGGTTCTTCGTGTCGGATAACGCCGACCAGGGCTCCAGCTCCGACAACTGCGTGCTGCCGCGGAGGCCCGACGACGATCTGGACTTCGCGGCCGGGTCCGAGGTGACGACGGAAGAGGACGGCTTCGCGACGGACGAGGACGGCTTCGCGGCGGCCAGGCACGACGATCCGTCGTCGCCTGCGATGAGCGTGGCGGAGATCCACCGCCCGGGGAAGGGGAAGCCTAAGAGCGCCCTGAGCCGGCTGTTAGGGAAGCTCGGGCTCTGCGGGAGGTCGTCGTCGTCGCGGCAGCAGCAGCAGCCGCCGCCTCTGCCGGGCGCCAGCGGCAAGAGGCGCAAGTCCTTCCATTTCGGGTGTTAATAACACATGAAAGTTTAGGCGTGCATTCGTTTAGACGTGCATTAATTAATTTTTTTGTGATGTAGCAGTAAGATTTGATGATGATATTACTCGTAGGTACAAAGCTCATTGTTTTGCTGAAAGTTTTTATTTAGAACGTTGGTAAATTTCTTATCAGGTAATGTTGAGATGCTTCCCAAGGTTCGCAAAAATATATAGAGAGAATTATCTATTTGGCACTGAAATCAAATCAATCTTCCGTATTTGTCTCTTAAAATTTTGAACTTCTTTATTTGGCACCACTGACCCCTCGTAGAATTGCTCATGGCTATACCTACAAAAATCCTTCAGCAATTGTACCAAAATCATTGCTTTAACTGGCCACTACAATGTCAAAAACAGCAAGTAGCTACAAGGCAAAACTTATTAGCTCTGTTTACATGAGGAAAGTTAGGCAGGGGCCCACTTTGAGACCGAGTGGCTCCTATAGTATTGTATCTGATTTTCTCGTTCACCATCCACGCATTTTCAACATGGTCTGGGAAAAATATGCGGTTGCATAGAGTACTGAAACCGGCAAAATCCAGTCGAACAAAAGGAAGGAAAAAATGACTTGTCAAAATCATGAGAACGTGGTCGAAGAAGCACAAGCGTGAAGGAGCGCAAGTGTCTGCTCCGCAATGGCCCGCTTCCTGGCTTGCTTCACCCACTCGGTAGCTATCTCCTCTGCTTCAGTTCCATGTAACCCTTGCTCCAAGGCATCAGCTGCTGCACTCAAGTCTCCATCCACAATCAAGCTTTCTACTTTGTTTATAAGAGACTCAATGCCATCTCCAGAGTTATCGCCTTTAATCTGAAAACAAATGGAATGATTGCAACTCAGTTTAAAATCCAACGGATAACAACTACAGCAAGGTACTAAGACTCCAAGAGGCCCACTAGGGCCACCAGAAGTGGTGGCAGTGACACAACACAGTACCTGTCCTATAAGTAGAAATGAGATACCCTATAGATTTCAGTATTAGCATATCATTAGATGATTCTTGATCAAAAGATCCAGGAACAGCAATAACAGCAATCAGGAACATCGATATAGAACTTGCAATTGCATAATCACTTATCAAACTGGTCAAAGAAATGATTTCCTTAGCATTTACCTTGATTGAAGAAGCAACACGAGCAACAGCATGTGCCAGGATTCCACCACCACCTGCTGGTAGAAGGCTGAAATGTCTGATAGTTTCCTTCAAGGAGTTAAACTGCACGAGAAAAGATATACTAATTTAGGCATTTAGCTTTTGGGTAGCCAAACTGATGGTTTTAAACAAGCATTCATGACAAGAAGCACAGAAAAAATTGTGGTTCGCATTCTTTTTATGCTAATTGAAGTCTAGAACTGGTCAGGGCTCAAAAAACCAAAATCTATGCATTTCTTTTTCATAACAATTGCTCAATGCATAGTAAGCAACTAAGCATATTGTCATAGGGAATATTATACATTCTATTTAACTGTAAGTATTCTAAATTCCATAATCCACTCAGAATAATAAAGTATGCTGTCTTACACAGAAATAGCTTGATATTTTAGTATAGTGTCACATACTCAATAAGAGTATGAACAGATGCCTTCATCCATTGCATCACAAAGAATGGGCATACCTTTTCCTTCAACCCCATCCGTGTATCTGATCCATAATCTAAAACATCTTCTGGGAGAGACAAAAGAGCCAATTCTAACAGTGAATCTTTGTCAATGCCTTCAACAGATTTACGCAATAGCTCCACTTCTGACCGGATTGGTGATCCACTGGATAAAGCATGTTCCAAAGCAAGAGTGCTCCTGCATGTAAATTAAGAATTTTGTCATTATGATACATGAAAAGAGAGGATAAGTTGACCATAAAGCTTTCAATAGTTAGAACTTGGAGGCAAGCACATAAGGGGATTCAAGTTAACTTACCAGAGCAAGCTTATGAACTGAATGACTCTGCCTAGCTTCTTCAGATCGTGCATAGAATGCCATACACAGCGCATCAATCTGAAATCAAAGCACAAAATAAGGTTAGAACCAAGTGCAAGCAAGCTGAAATTATGCATAACTTGTTTTTCTAGCAGCTTAAGATATAATATACTGGCACAGCAAACATATATAATCAAATTTGCTGGCTCTAATAATGATTTGCTGGATATAACATCTGGACAGTGTTTGAATGGTCGAGGATCCGTGTTCATCATAGACATATATTATGACATATAGAAAAAGAGTCAGAAATGCTGAACGTACATCAGTATAAATGCAGCTTATAGATGAACCAAAATAAAAATAAAAATTGTTTTTAGACATCCAGTCATTGTCTGCTTCATCCTAATAGCATCACTGGCTAAGAATGGGGCGACAGGAACATTCAAAGGGAAAAGTGAGTGATAGGGAAGCAGCAAGGGCAGAAACTGCCACTACTAGTATTCAGTAGTCAGTACAATCCAAAACAGTACATAATACTCTAAATCAGGGAGTTCACAACCACATGTGCACCAAATCATTTAAGTTAGACAGGCCTCCATTTTGCAAAACAGAGGTGCAAAGCCAATTTGAGAGGCACCACAGTGCCAGTAGGCCCGACATGCATTTTAAGCTAGTTCACATCATGAAAACCTCTAATAGCCATTTAGAGTGCAACCCTAAACAAAATTGCATTAAGTCCCTTACATTGAGGTTTGCTTCAGCGATCTGTTCAATCTGGGATGCTTTCTCTTTTGCAATAGCTGCAGCCAGTTCAGCTTTTGCTATCTCTTGAGCCTTCTCAACTTGTTGGCTTGTTTCTTCATCCTGTTAAATCAGTAGTACTAAGTTCAGTTACTTAATGAATTAGAATATATAGAGAAGAGAACTTAAACATATATCGAATCTGACACACCTTCCTCTGCAGCTCATCCTGCAATTTTTGTTCAGCCTTTTCTTGCAGTTCCTTTATTGCAGCAGCATTCTTCAGTTTCTCTTTCTTCAGCTCCTGAGAACAGCAAGATAATTGAAAAACATGAAAATAGTAAATAGTTTATCAGAAATTCAATGCAAACAAAAGATTCATATATAATTTTAGCCTACATTGAATAATGTGAAGATACCATGCATATTGTACTGAGAATATTCTGCACTTTTGCTTTAAACTGTGGTGTTTTTAAAAAGAAGAATTCAAAAGTATCCAGACTGCCACAGGAAAACAGAGCCTCACATGATATAGCTATACTAATTAATTTCACAAGTTATGACAACCAAAGCTTTAGTTAAAGGCACTAAAAGTAGTATTTCCTACATTTTGAAATCTAAGGAAACATAATATGGATCAAATCATGTCTACTTCATGCCTTGTCGAGAATTGCTGCCTCCTCTGCATACATTAGTTCCCTGGCCCTGGTGTCTTTCAGCTCCTTTTCATACTTCTCCTGAGAAAATGCAAAGCATAGCGCATAAAACAATACTATCCAATGCCTAATTTAGGTAAAGGTTTGTGTACTGCTTAAAATCCACAATAACTATGGGCATTAATATAAGTGAGGAAAATAACAGTGTAAACCACAAAGGTAAACTAGTGTTGAACCTTATATCCTCAGCAAATAAAGACCATAGATAAGCAAAAAAAAAAAAAGTAAATGAATAGCACACCTTCAACTTTCTTCTCTCTTCTGAATACATGTATGCATCTACATCTGCCTGCTTCTTTTCGGCAGCATGAATAGCCTCAATGATATCAAGTACAATCTTACCATCTTCAGAAGTTTTTTCACGAACAACTTCATCACTTCTTTTCTCCTTAATGGTCTGGTTTTTTCAGAAAAAGAAAAGAAAAAAGGATAATCAAGTAAATAACATGGAAGAATTGTCATTTAAGTGTCATCAAGTTATTTCTAGACCTCTTTGCCCATAGAAAATCATTTATCATATTGTTATAGTCTAAAAACATTACAACATTCAACATTGAACTTACTGCATCTTTTGAAACATCAGGTTCATCTTGCAGTAAATATGTCTCAGCAAGAGATTTCTGTTCAACAGCAACAGCTCCAGTGAGATCCTACAGACAAGGATCGATTCAATAATCAGAAACAACATCATCAACCATTGAGAAAGCAGGATAGTAATATAGAAGAGTTTCAACATTTGTGCTAGATGGATACTACAGATGGAGGATGCTGAAGTGATGACAAAGAAATAAAATAGTTTATAACAATGTAAAGCTAAACTGTGTGGGGGATCCCTGTGACAAAAACAAACAGCTCCAGTACGCAAATTAACAGTCCTATAAATCAAAACCAGTTCACAATCAAAATGTTGTTCAAGAGTGCCAGCTGCCTGGTCAAGTTAAGTAGTCATAGACAAACATAGATGCATCAATGCAACAATAAACCGTGGGACATGCACACTATATAGGGCCTACCTACACTGATTTATGTAAACCAAACTGCAAGAGAATTTCATTTGCAATTTTTAGGAATTTAATAAGACCAATAGGACCTGATATAGAATCCATGTTACACTCAGAATTTGTTCAAGTGCCAATTTGGAACTAGGAAACAAAGATACTATCCTCTACCGATCAACATGCAAATGTTATGATAAGAAGGCAAGCAAGGATCACAGAGGAATATATGTAATATACCTTTGGTCCATCTGGATCTGTGGGGTGATCATAAGTACTAACTGTTGTTGGGGTTGACTGTACAGGAGGAACTGTGCTGTCTATCTTATCAGTTTGCTGTTCATGAGGAACTTCACCAGATTCATTATCATCGATGGGAACTGTCTTTAGCTCAACTGCTGGAGAATCTTCAGATGGCATTTTAGTATCAGATCCATGTTCATCTGGAACTGGATGTGTCTCATGGGATAGGGTTTCTGATTTCTTTTCCTCTGCAGGAACAGGCTGATCCCCATTGGTTGGAACCTCTGGTGCCCCCACCCCGTCATTTCGAACATCCTTTGGAGTATTAGCCTCATTATTACCCTCTTGAACAATCTCAGTGTTTGGTCCTGACACGTTTTGTGTCTGGTCAACCTTCTGTTCAGAAGGAACCTTCAGATCTTCATACACATTTACAGCATCTTCCTTCTTTAAGCTAAAAGGCAATTTCTTGTCCTTAAATTGAAGATCTATATAACCAAGTTGATGTGCACCCATTGCTGCTGCACCAACCACAAGAGTCCCAAGAACAAGCTTTGAAACATTACTTCCCGACTGAGAAGGTTGTCCTCGAGGACCTGGGGCAGCATTCTGTGTAGAACTCTTTGGAGATGCCTTTGTCGAGTTGCTTCTAGATTTAAGGAATGTTGGACTCTGGACCAGATAGGTCATGTCAGTTCCACTGAAGACTGAACATATACTATCTAGACAAGCTTTATGAAAGCAGTAGGAAAAATAATTACAGCAGGATTATATTTGGTGCCCTACATGGGGGCAAAAAAACTGGCCATAGCATACTAAGATAAAAGAATCTCCAACCTCATTAGGATTAACCAACAAACAACATGGCCATATGTAACACGACTCCAATCCAAGTGGGATATAGCATTCCATTGTGACATGAGCTTAAGTATCACAACTAAAATAACTCCATCCAAAGCTTACTAAACAGGAACCAATAACATTACAACAATCAGGCACAGCAGGGAACAGCTACAAACTCTCATAGAAAATAGGTTTTCCTGATTAAATAAAGCATCTCAATAATCTGCTTGGAGATCAGTATGCGGTCACTAATAGTACTCCATTATGACATGAACTTATGTACTCCCTCCGTCCACGAAAGAATGCAATTATAGGATCCATGCCGGTCAAGCTAACTCAAGTTTGACTAAGTTTATAGTAAATAGTATTAGTATTTATATCTTTAAATAAATTTATTATGAAAATATATTTTATAACTAATCTAATGATACTTGTTTTGTACCATGAATGTTAGTAGTTTTTTATATAAATTTAGTCAAAGTTCACACGGTTTGACTTCTCAAAAAGCGACAATTGCATTCTTTTGTGGAGTGATAGATTAGGGGTAGCACCAATTGAAGAAAAGCTTGTCCAACACCGGTTGAGATGGTTTGGACATGTCCAACGGAGACCTCTAGAGGCACCGGTGCCAGGATAGTAACGTGAAGAGAGGCAGAGGAAGACCGAAGTTGACTTGGGTAGAGGCAATAAAATGAGACTTGAAATGATAGAATATACCCAAAGACTTAGTCTTAGATAGGAGTGCTTGGAAAACAGCTATTCACGTGAGTGAACCTTGAATGCTTTTGCTGGGTTTCAACTCTAGCCTACACCAACTTGTTTGTGACTTAAAGGCTTTGTTGTTGTTGTTGTTGACGGAGGTAGTATCTCAATATTGAATACCTGAATCAAACATGAAATGGGATTGATATTACTTTCATAACAAAAAGTAGACATTACTATTAGCTTGAGTCCCCTCATCACCCTAAATCCTGGAACTTTCTCAGACAGATGAACAAGGTATCAGCACACCTGTCACAACGTCACAGCATTGTATTCCAAAAAATCCTTGCTTATTTAATTCAATCTCAAAATGTGGAAACTCTAGAATTCCCTACCGTTACACCATATACAATTACCAGCCTTGGCAGCATTTCCAAACTAATGAAGGCAGCAGCAATCTACCTAGCTAATTCACCAATTCAAAAGTCTCCTGACTAAGCTCAAACGGAAAACCAATCTTCTAACATAACAGACAACAACGAGAACAAACAACCAACGGGAACGGAACCGCCTACCTCGCCGGAGATCGGTCTGGGGACCCTCGCGAGAGACCGCAGCGGGCGCAGATCCCGCATGCACCTGCAGTGGCAGGAAGAACAGAGCATTAGGCATCGAAACCCTAGGGTGTGGTGGGTTGAGACCAGAGTCAGTGCCCGTACCGGCGCAGCATGATGGGCGATGTCACTGGAGACCACCGTCCCTTGTTCTTCTCGCCGCTGGGGTGACGATGAGGAGGCGGAGGGGCAGTCGAGCGATGCGGCCCCGATCGCTCTGCACGGCCACCGCCCCGTGCCGCGCGACGGCAGCGACGGCAAGGAGGAGGCGGCGGAGGGGAGGGGAGGCGAAGGGGGAGAGTGGCGCGTCGCCGGACAGCTTCCTGAACGAACGCTTGGAGAAGAAATTGGGGATAGTTCAAAGTTAGGCCCCTGGAATGGAATGCTAGAATTTTTAGTGATTCTTGTGTCTTTATTATATGAAAATGAATTGCTTCCTGTAAAATTTCTATATTATTCATTGTGTTCCAACAAAAGATCTATAGTAGAAGAGAATAGTAAAACGCTGCATATGAAATGGAAAGTTATAATTCTACCACAGTCTCAAATGCGACCTCACCGATCACACAGTACTACCAATATACCATACAAAAATTTATAAAAAAAGTGTCTCTCATCATACATATTAGGCTTTTTGCATTTTTAGCTACGTGACATGACAAAAATAGTTTGGAAGAATACATTAGCATTAAGCTCTTGACCATCATTGATATCCATATTTGCTAATTCTGCCATGCTGGTGTCCTTTTCATTATTTAGGTAGTTTGGTGCAACTTTTTGCTCTACCTTGTCACTATAAAACAATGTAGCGACATTATAGCATGGCAGAGCTAGATATTGTGGCTCCACCTGCTCCTCTTTCTCGGTTCATTTTTCATCTTAGGAGTGAAAACGGTTACTTACTATAGTAGCAAATAGTAGCGCTATAGTGCTAGGAAGGAGGAGGAACAAACCCCCCCAAAAAAGCCATACGGGTTGACATCCACGTCCAAAATATCCTCACCACTTTCAAGCATATCACTACATTTTATATCATGTACGGCTTCTTCTCTATTTCTCTATAGTATGCATGTTGTCACCTTTGTTTTCTTCTCTCTTGATAAGCCATTTGCTGAGAACAGCCATTTATGATCAAATTGTCATATATGATTTACTTCACTCCCTAACAATGAAGAGGGCTTCGACCTCCACGACCATCAACAATCCACAAGGTGGTAAAGTGCCGAAGAGGATTTGCTTGTTCTTCATTATTAGAGTTGCTGACATTAAAACGCGTTATATATGCACCTCGATTGTAGCCCGTGGTGGCATGTGTTAGCGCGTGGCGTGGAAGGCAAATCCAAAGGTATTGGTTTTCATAGTCATTCAACGCTAGCATATTGAATGCTCATGCCAGGAAAGTGATGATGGATTTAGAATAAAATAAACTTGACAGATATTCTCTCATTTTAAATTGCAACAAATCGTCTTGAGTGTAATTTACATATATACATAGAAAAGCCATAATAAAACCTTATAATTTGGAACTGATGGAACGGAGAGAATAGTCAATAAGAAAAACCACTATATTAGTGCAATATATATCTCAGATAGAAGACAAAAATTGGAGAACACATACGGAACTTTTATACAAGAACCGAGGCAAAGCGCTTTGATTTGGCTTTGACTTCTAGACTAACTACCGCCTTTGTCCCTAAAAGAATGTAACTATGTGTTACGTGCCACGAAAAGTGATTCATGTTTGACTGAGTTTCTAGTGAATAGTATTCATATTTATGGCTCTAGATTAATTTATTACGAAAATACATTTGATACTATAAATATTTATAATTTGATACTATAAATATTTATAATTTTTTATCTATAATTGGCCAAACTTGATATACTAAAACACGACACTGTTCCATAATTATATTCTTTTGAAGATGGAGGTAGTACTTTATTGCTACTCTTAACTATCTTCTTATACCTTTTGTTAGAGAAGGGTCGTCAATAGATTACCAATACACATGGGCCCCGTTCGCTTGGAGGAATCTGGATGGTTTTGGATGAATCTGGAGGAATTTGTGAGAGAAAAACATTGTTTCGGATGAAAAAAGAAGCGGATTAAGCCGGGTTTAAGAACACGCGAACGGGGCCATGGCTAGTCTTCAAACACTATTAAAGATCGGTTGCACAATTTTAAGATAACTTAGCACATGATGATAAAGTTGTAGAATAGTTCGTATAATGAGGCCATTGGAATATTAAAATAATTTGTAGAATGTGCTACGAGACTGATAAGTTCAAGCCTGACTTATCAGTTATGATACAGTATTTTTTCTCACAACAAATCAACAACAATACTTATCAACCTGGCTTTTCAGCGAAACGAACAGGACCTTGATATATTTGTGATTATGATGCGGTGATGATAATTTTTTTAAGTCCATTGATGAACGTAACAAATTTGAATTTAGATGGATGGAAGTTGAGAATCGTTGACCGAGTCACTTTCTGAATACAAATTCGCACTGCCTAGTGCCTAGTGACACTAGTTTAAGAGACCCACCAAAGACTTGCTGGTGCTGGTCTCCACTCAACGTGTTTGGTTCAGGAGTCGGTCACGTCCAGAATCGGTACGTCCGGCATGAATTCACTCTTGCTAGGGTCGGACACAGACTTGACGTTGTTTGGATTAGGGAACCAGCTGGCTCGGACGGAGTCATCCGATGGTTTTTTGAAGGAAGCACTCAGTCATGCATTTGTACTAGCACAGGAATCACCTGGTGACGGACGAGTCCGCTACTCAAACCAAACACGCTGATAAAAACCCTTGGGTTCTCGTTCTCAAGGAACTGATCTGGCGCAGAGTCGACAACGTTAAAAATTCCAAAAAGCATATGACCCGCTCCAAAACCAAATGCAGGGCAGCCAAAACACCCCGCTAGCCTGCGTTCCTTGAACGCCGCCGTGCAGCCGTCGTCTCCATCCGCATCCCCCGCTCGCCTTTGAACTGTGCGGCAACCGACCAAGGCTCTCCACCACCGCTCGAGGAAACAGTAACGTCGGCGCCGTCCCCCAATCCATCCTCGTCTCAATCCGATCAAGGTATTAAATCTGCATCAGATGTGAGATGGTTCTTATCCCCTCGAATGCTTTGATCTGTCGATGGTGATTAGATGTGCAAATAGTTGTAGCTGTTCATCCTTTTCGATTTGGTTCAGATTTCACTCTGCGCTCGATTCCCCTCCGTCCCGTTTTTTTCTTCATGCTTCCTGGGAAATCCTGGAAATGTGGGTCTAGGTTGGATCAGTGGGCAATCAATCCCCATGGGGACTGAAGGGCAGGGGCGGATCTACAGTGAAGCGTCGGGGTCCTCCACCGACCCCGATGACTTGCGTAGAGCCTGTGCTGTGATACCCCATGTAATCTCACCGTGATGGACCCAGTAAATCAAATGTCGACCCCGGCAACTACGCAGCCCAGTCCAAGGAAATACGTATTGGTAAAGAGCAAAGGGCAGCAGACCGTAAAGCCCACTTCGTGGATGAAGCGTCCAATAAACAGCACAAGCTAAGAAGCCCAGAAATCACCTGCTGGCTACTTGCCGTCGATCGCTCTTCCTGTAGGCACACCGGCCTGACTCTTTGGTCTTTCCGATCTGGCAATTCAACTCATCGTCTTCTTCCTTTGCGCTCACCCCCCTCACGGCGGCGCTGCAGCCTGCAACGGCAAGCATCGCCGGCTCGCCGCATCTTGCCATTGCTGCCTGCTTGCCGGTGACTTGGCGCCGACGTGACGTACTGATGTTCAAGCCTCTTGCCTCTAATCCTCTTGGCTGATTGGACTATTGGAGCAATATCAACATGTCCGGTGAGGCGGTGAGGAAATTAATTATATTTAACCATATACGCATGGTTGCTTACTGTTATTCAATATCTACTTTAGTGTTTAATTGTGTTCACAAATTTGATAGGCAACCAAAGAACATTGGAACGATTCTTGAAAAGAAAAAATCCCCCTAGTGATGGTGAGAATCCTGAATCCTGATGGAGGTGCTTCAAGAGGAGATCGCGACGAGAATCCTGATGCAGGCACTTCAAGAAGAAGAGATGGAAGTGTAGCTGTAACAAACACCAATCATACTACTCTTCGTTCTTCGCGAGTCTCACGGTGGGAGGTAAATTTTGATGAGCTTCCATATGATCCAGCAGATAGAAGGAAAATTTCAGATTACATAGACCAAAATCTACAAGATGAGATAAGACGCAAGTATTTGATTAGAGGTCCTTTTAGAGCACCACCTGGTTTTAGGTATCCAGAAAAGATTATAACAGGTCATCCACGTCGATTTCACCCTGAATGGTTCACAGAACATGATTGGCTAGAGTACAGTGAAAAGGTGGATAAATGTTTTTATATTGCTACTTATTTAGAGATTCTAATGAGGGCCAAGGTGGAAATGATGCATTTGTGAAAAATGGTTGGGATGGCTTTAACAAAAAGGACATGCTTCGAGATCATGTAGGCACCCAACCTAATAGTTTTCATAACACAGCGGGTAAAAGATCATCATTACAAACTTTCAGAATATGGATGACCGTACTCGTAATGTGAAATTATAAGAGGTAACCACTATTGTAAAGAGTTTTTTTTTGTCTTATTATAACATTGTTAATTTCACTCCTCTATATGAATCCTAGATTTTTGCAGTATTTCATCATTATAAATAATTATGACTATGTTTTGCATGTATCGCAGTGTTAGATTACTATAAATTTCTATCATGAGTCTGGGCTGACCCCGATCACAATTTTTTCTAGATTCGCCACTGCTGAAGGAGAAACCTAATCTCCATGGGGAAATTGGTTACTTTTACTGAAGACGAGAGGATAATCGTCCTGCTCACGTTGTCAAAAGTTTCAGAATCTATTGTAGGAATTAGCTTTCACTCTGTTGTAGTAGTACACTACATTTTATTCTGCATGCATCAGATAATTTTCTCACCCTCCACGCTCATTTTCTTTTTGGCAGCTAAGCGAGGACAATGCAGCTCGGGTCCGGGCGTCGCTTAGTGTACCCACCGCCGGAGCAGCAAGGAGGTGGCCATCGCCGCCGGTCCCAGCAAAGCTTAGAGGACAGGATCAGCGGCATCCCTGAGGACCTGCTCCTCGAGATTATCGTCCGTCTCAGGTCCGTCGCTGAAGCTGCATGCGCCGGAGCGGTATCCCGCGGCTGGCGCGACCTCTGGACTGAGCTTCCCGAGCTCACGTTCTGGTGCGCCAACCCTCTCCCTGTCGTGTCAGCGCTCGCCAGGATCACCCGTTCCTCGGTGGACCCCCTCGACATCAATTTGTCATCGGGCTGGATGGAAGAAGACTGGGGTGGGGACGTATCCTTGCTTCTCCGCTCCGCTGCACTTGTGTTGCCAGAGAAACTCATCATCTCTGTGATGATCCACCCCATAAAAGACTACGCCGTCGAGCTTCCCTGCTTCGAGCGCACCTCCTACCTTAGTCTTGAGTTGATGGGCAGCCTCCCAATTACTTTGCCACAGTCCGGTGAGTTCACTGCGCTCAAGAGCCTTCACCTGCAATCGTGCTGCATCGACCTTGGCGCCCTGCTCCCCCTCTGCCCATGTCTGCGCATCCTGAACATCCTGAACGTCAGCGATCTCAGACATGCTGACACGGTGATTATTCACTCGCCGTCGCTTGAGGAGTTCAGCTTGGAGATAAATATTCATGACATCTGCCGCATTGACATCGCGACCCCAGTGCTTAAGGAGGTGACACTGGAGGTCGATATTGCCAAAGGCTTCAGCTTGTCCTTCTCGGCCCCAATGGTGAAGAAACTCAGATGGGGTTGCTCTTATTCGTGCGTTACTGTTGGGTTCGGACAGATATGGCGCCTCGTGAGCATAAGGGAGCGTGAGCTAGATGAATTTCATGTCGTCTCGCTGACCATAATGAGTTCTGCTAATGTGCGTATGCTACTTTTCTAGGCTTCTCTTCCAAACTTTTATACCGAAATTATTTATGTTATTATATGCAGCCAAATGGTTTTCTCCATGTGCTGAAAATTTCCTCTATTGATAACATTGGACACTCACTTTGTTGAATGCAGTCAAATGGTCTTCTGGATGCAGAATGGAGCATTACACAGCTGATAGCTCATCTTCCAGTGGCTGTTTTTACTGTTTTAGAGCTGGATCTCGAAATAGAGGGGCATACTTTTGGACCAATGATGTTGTATCTGCTTCGGACTAATCAATTATGCAAAGACTTAAGGTGGTCCTAAAACGTGACAAGGTAATCATTCGATTGTTGATCCTGTACTTATGTATTCTGGTTGGCTACTGAGTTTAGATAGCAATGAATTGTCCTTCAGTTACGTATTCTGGTTGTTGATCCTGTACTCCAATTTTCTTTCAGGTACGAGTGCCGTGCCCAGTAAATTGTCCTTGTGAACATCCTATCAACTGGAGAAGTGAAGATGTCTCTGTCTAATCTTGAAGTCGTTGAAATTCATGGCCTGCAAGGTGAAGATGATGAAGTTGATTTCCTAAAAGCCATACTCCGATGTGCAACAGTGATTCGGAGATTGACAATGACTATTTCTGATGACATCTCACCAAGTAACAATGGCTACGAGAAGATCTGCAGCATTATGAAGGAATATCCTGATGTGGAATGCCATATTATGGCATCCGTTTCTGAGGGGTTCTTTATCCATGAATAGAAGACTATTTGCAAATGGCAACTGGTGACATCCTTATGCTTTCATCAGTTTTTATCTTGCTGATATGTTTTGCTGGAGATTTCTGTATGCAAGTTTTATGACTTAATAAATTTGGTGGTGATCACTGGACAGAAGGTGTCATTGCCTGTTAGTAGATCAATGATTTGTATCCAAATCAAGTATCTCTAGTTTAATGTGTCTTGCAGTAACTCAGTAAGGTTCAACTCCTTTGTATTGCCTGCCAGGCAAGCTAGACAAGGAAATACGGCCTTGTCTGTAGTACTCATGTCAAGCATGGCTGCACTCTTCGCAATGTAATGTGCAAAGAGCAGTTCAATATTCCCAAATGCGAATGTTTAGCCCCATCTTTTCACCATGCCTTCGATGAAATGAAATCCAGTTTAACCTTTTTAAAAAAGAACTCTTTGTAATTCATGAACTGAATTTCAAGTCTGGTTAGCATGTGGTTTACTCGTCAAGATAGGGCAAGTTCAGTCTGTCGATGCTGTTTTGTTAGGTTTTTTTTTTGTATGTATAAACTATAAATGAAATACATATTACAAGCCTGAGAGCTTTCATGGAAAAAGCACTTTCGTCTAGAGGAACAATTCTGCATGATTTGTTCTCAACAGGCCACCAATTTGCTTCAAATTACCTTTCATTTATAGATTCTAGTGTTGTCCTCCCACAACATTCAGAACATCCAGGTTTTAGTATTTTTTTAATGCATTGCCAATAGAAAACAAGTCATCGCTTAAATTATTCTACGGATTTATGGTGGGAGGTTGGTCTATCTGTCCTGGTCTATTCAAGTTCAGACTTGACCGGGTAATGAGGTGAGATGTTTATCGCATTCTGTTTTGTTATCTGACGGCTACAAACGCACGCAATTAACCGTTTTGTTGAGAGTCCAGTTGCTTTGCCTTGCAGTACATCCATCCAACAAAAACGATCCTGTATTTCTCCTGCACGTTTTGGTTTCTACTACATCTTTTTTCATTGATCAGGTGTACTCAAATTGAATCGGCCACTCCCATCCCAACAGACCGTTATCTGGTTTAAGCCATCAGAAATATCGCTCGAAATTGCAGGAAAGGAAGATATACGCGGTCAAATGCCATGCTTGTTCATGGAAAATAATATCCCACGTCATTACCCGGTCAAGTCTGAACTTGAATAGTTCTCTGGAGGACCTCATGTCAAGTAGATGTAATCATATAAATATTTGTCAGATAAGTTCGCAACATCCAGTCAATGCATGTTCCCACAGGGCTATATATTGCTAGCAAGATCACACTTTGTTTCTTTGTTTCCTCTATATAAAAGGATGCTCTTGGGGCTGGGATCATGCATACTAGAGAGATTACATTATGTTCTGCGTTAGATAAGACCATCCCAAATGCAGGGGTGACACAGTACCATCTCTGCCTTAATTCATACAGAATCTGCCCTTGGAAGTTGGAACTGCGATACGAGTTGAAGGCACTAGGAGTTTCGGAAATGGATGGTGGCTGGTGGGTAATTTGCTATTCCCACCGTTCCAAAACAAACGCAAGTCATTTTTAGCTTCGTCAAAATCTTCCAACTTTGAACTACCTTTGGATGATATTGTATTATTGTTCTCCTTGGTCATCCACTATTTTCTTCCGTTGTTAGAGAAAAGAATAAAGTTCAATCTAATCTCACCCACATCGACCATGTTTGCATTTTTGGGGAAAACACGTTCTGTGGTTTTGTCTGACGAAACAAAACGGCATGGGGTTCGTTCCTCTTGTTCTTTTCCAGGGGCATGTACGGGCGTATCTGGGTGGAAAACCTGGCCCAGATCCTGACCCTGAGGCCGAGCCCACGATCAGGACCAGTGCGCCATCTTGCTCCAGGCCATTGTAATTGCAAAAACAAAATTTCTGTATTTCGTTGACTATACTACCAAAAATATTTTCGGCTGATGTAAAAAAGCAATGCCTAAATATCAGGCCCCAGTAACTCCACCTGCATGCTCAAAATGGAGAAAAGAAAACTCACCTCACTTCCAGCCGCAAATTCGACCTACCAAACAACCTCCATTTTCTAAAATTCGGCTCCCCCATCAAGCATATACGATGCAGCTGTACGAGAACGAAGCAGGCCTATGTGAATCTTTAATCTTCCTTTTACTCTCCTCGCTCTTTAACTCTCCTCGCATTACATGTACAGTACAACAACATATGGCAAAATGAACAGCACAAACAGTATACTCTACAGCAAGTCAGATCCTGCCTACCAGTCAACGCTAAATCGAAAACCTGTCAAAAGTTTAACAGGGCTGGGCTACCAAAACTGTCAGTGAGATCGGGGATGGAAGTATTGCATCCCAGGAGGTGGCTGCATGGTCCTGAAAGGCGGCACGCCAGGCGGTTGAAGGGCAAACTGCATATGAGGCGCTAGGTTCATTGGCATCTGCTGCTGAAGCATCGGTGGCGTTGGTGGCTGAGTCTGAGGCATGACAGCCATTTGAGGCTGTTGAGCTGAAGGTGAGGGCCTTCCTAGGTTCATCATCTGGGGCGGTGGAGGCGGCGGCGGCGGGGCCATGGTGCTCATGTTGTAAGGCATGCCCATCATTACACCCCCAGGCTGAGGGACAAACTGCTGGGGAGGGGCCTGGTAGATATTGTACTGTGGCTGAGATGCAGAGGCTTGGCTCTGCATATGTGATTGTTGCACTAAGATTGCCTGGGGCTGCTGCTGAGCTGTTGTGGCAACCACTTGTGGCATTGGAACGAAAGCTGCAGCATTTGCGACGCTTGGTACCTGCGAAAGTTGGTCAGTTTTCTGCCTCTTATCTGAGCGTGTTTCAGATGAATTCTTCGCTTCTTCAGCAGCAAACTTGGAAAGTGCAGACTGCAGAATCTGCTGAGAGTTTGATGATGCTGCAATCTTGTCCGCAAGGATAGCAGCAGCTGTCTTCTGCTGCTCCTTTACTTGCCCATTGGAAAGCACCTTTCTTGGCTCTACTGAAGATGCTGATTTGGGCAGCGGAATGGTTGGCTCATTCTTGAGTCTCCGCTGCATGTTGGAGGCTTCATGTACCATTGCTTCAGCTAGCTGCCGATTGGAAAAATTAAAAACATAAGAATGACAAGTGTTCACATCCTACAGAACACTATAAGCATGTATCAACATTTCCATGGTTTGGAATGGTTGGAAAACATTACCTGTAACTGAGTGCAGACTTTCTCCAGTTCAGATTCCTGAGTAACATAAACAAATAAGATTCCATAGCTCCATCGACAAAATACAAGTAACAATGACAAGCTAATACATATTCGAAAAGACAAAATCCAAGTTGTTCTGACCTGTTCCTGCAATGCCTCCTTCAATTCAGACACAACAGCTGCTCTATTTGTCTCAACAACTTTTAGCTTTTCGATGCATTTTTTCATGTTAGCCTCCTCATCCTTTAGTTCTGTGCAAAGAACCTCACGACGAGGATCTTCGGCTGCATACAGAGGACGTCTTAAGAATGTCTACTAAGGTAGCAAAAATGCAGGACTCCACCCAGGCCGGTAACAAATATTACCTTTGCTACAGGCGCTGTCGACGTCCTTCTCCATCTTTCCAACATGACGCATAGAAGTCTTGCATTTTTCGAGGTCAACATCCTCATCTGCTTGTTCACTGAGAACAGTATGCAATGCAGATACAATCCTCTCTGCAGTGCCTCCAATGCCTAGTCTCTGATCAAAGATGGCGATAATATTTGAGAGAATTTCATAGCAAAGTATAAGTGTTAAAAAATAGTCTAGTAGGAAGAGTAGAAAATCTTACAAGTTTCACATAACGCGAATCTCTTTTAACAATCCTTATTGATGAACTGTGAGAGCGCTTTTTGGTCATATCTAAAACAGGAAGGGGAGCTGCGCCAAGCATCACATCCTTGATGCCCCCAGCACGTGAGCCAAAAACTCTCCTTTCTTGCCATATGTCAACCTAGGACACATTTGTGCGTTACTAATACGTTTTTGCAGCTACACAACAATATTAACAGGATACATGTGTATTTTCAGAACAGATATGCAACAGCTGGGAACTCATGACATCGATATACAACACTCACCAGCCTAGATGCCACCTCCTTCCCACGGTCGTCACCATTCTCACTTACATTTTTAAGCGCCCCAGGGAGAACCTTCCAAAATTCTTCTACAAACTCTGTCCCGTTGCGCTTGCTGTTCTGTAAGATGTCATTAGCAAGATAAAGGAAAGGGACCTTCTGCTCCTTGCCAGAGCTGTGGAACTGCTTGTCCCAAGTCTGAACAATTTGCTCTGCATTCTTTCTATGGTAAATGCACCAATGCGACAGTGCTAGTGGCCACAAAGAGCAAAAGTCAAGGCAACAACCGGATAACAAAAATACATGTTATGGCAAAGAACTCAATCTATTTACACCAACTGAATAGGTTAAAAGATTTGAAGTCAAGACATATTCAGTAGGCAAAAGAAGCAAACATATCAAGAGCTCAATCTATCTGCTCAGGGTGCAGAACGGGGAAATTCTCCCTGCCGGCTATTCAAAGATACATCCTTTTGAACGAACCTGACAACAATTCGATGGACGAGAGATTAAGTACGGAAAAGAGATGTATCTACAGTCTAATCGTACAGAAAACGCGAGACTAAGCGCACAAGTTGGAAATTCACACAAAACTTCCCTGGAAGCACCACAAACAGTCCAAAGTCCAAAGATTTGAACGGTGAAAAGTAGGGAAAGGATACTCTCGATGCATTGCTGCGTGTTGTTAAGCTTGGCGAGCTTGTCAGCGAGTATGTCCTCGCTGAACGCGCTGTTCATGGCCGCCCGAACAGCACGGAGCGCTCAAATCGTCGCGCAGATCTTGGGGGCGGGGGGAGGAAGAGGGACCGACGAAACCTAGATAGAAGAGCTGCTAGACGACCACGGCGGCGATGGCGGAGGCATCAGCCGCCGAAATTTAGGTGCGGATGGATCAGGGAGGCTAGGGTTTGGAGAGGCAAGAACTAAAGAAGAGGAGTGTAAGCGTGATCAGATCGGCTGAAGCATTTCCCTTGGGTGTTCTTTTTGTTTTTTCCTTTAATTTAGATAGAGTTACCTTTTAGAAAAAAGATTAAACAACTTATTACCATTTTTATCATCAAATTATTATTATTATAAAATAAATAAATATAGACAACGGGACCCTAAGTGACATCCGGTCTTACAAGAAAAATAAGAGGTTAAGAGGTTTAGAGCTTGTTCGGCAGGACTGAAAAATAAACCAAAATATTGTTCCGACTGATTGTTGTGAGAGAAAAATACTGCTATGTTTGAAAACACTGTTCACATGAACAAAGGTCCATGTGAGTAGACTCAAATCTTGTCTACAACTTGTTGATAAATTTGAGTTTTTTCATTTAGATAACGAAGCCTTAGGTCACCGAATAGTAAAAGATTAATATCTCATCTCCAAGCCCATTAGATTAGGCTAATATTTACGGCGCTCCCGCTTTTTTATACACCCATATTTAGTAGTAGCACAACATCACAATTTGCCTCACTGACACGTTCTCTCTCCTTTAAAGGTAACACTCATCGATTAGTTGGAGTGCTATAGTAGTGCATCACTTTCTTTCCCATGTTCATCCACAAGTTTCTCGACATGGAAACCCAAGTGCTAACATTGTGCTACTTCTAGTTTATAACATATGATTATCGCAAACTCTAATACGTGACAGGGTTGCGCGAGCGCGTGACCCATCGCCCTCCTCGCTCTTGCCTCCTCCCCGCGTCCTTCTCCTTCCTCCGCCGCCTCTCTTCCTCCCGCCTACGCCCCGCGCCCACACCTGTGTCCGCGCCCACGCCGGAGAGGGAGAAGAAGTCGCCTAGGGTTCCGGCGAGGAGCTCGTCGGAGACGATGAGGAGGAGGTCGCCGAAGAGGGAGAAGAAGCCAACTCCAGCGGGCTTAGAAGGAAGAGGCCCTAGGAAGGCAGGGCGGTGGTGGCGGGGAAGGAGGCCGAGCAGTTCGGGGCCCTAGCGGCGGCCGGGCACGTATCAAGGGGCGAGGCGCCATGGCGGAGCTCCAACTAGAGGGAGGAGGCCCAGAAGGTGGTTAGGCTATTTTGCGAAGCGTGCTAGGGTTCCATTATAGCAATTTCCACGTTCTGTGGTTTTGTCTGACGTGCCCTAGCATGCATGGGTTCGTTCATCTTGTTCCCTAGAGAGCCACTAGAGAGCGTATCTGGGCGTTGGCCCTGGCCCAGATGGGGACCCTGAGGCGAGGAGGAGGCGACCAGGCGCGAGGACTCCAGGCCAGGAGGGAGAAAGAAGACTCTGTGGGGCGTGCTACTGCGTGAGGAGGAGGCGATGAAAAAGAAGCCGTCGCAAGGAGGAAGATGAGGTGGCGCACTCAAAATGGAGAAAAGGCATAACCTCACTCGTGGGATAACGGTCCCCTATGATTATAGTTAATTTCTGGATATCTTAGCTCTAGGACTATATGACTGAGAATGGGTAAGTCTATTCTCGTCTATTGTCTACTCAAACCCTAGATTCTCACGTCTAGATTTTCTCTTGAGTCACCTACAAGTAATATATCAGATAAAATACTGTAGTACGTTACCATTGATGCAAAAGTAAGAAGTACGAGGCAAATTCTACTATATGATTTTTTTTTGAAAATGTGCGGTTTATGTATAGCACTAGGTGATAGGGTAACATGATTATAATCCATGGTGAACACACGTGAAAAGCTGGGGTTGTGAAACAAGGGATTATTCTACGATGTTGGCGCCTATTTCCTTTCGTGTAAAGAACAAATGGCACACATCCAAGACATGCATGCAAAATATGTGTTGAAAAAGTACTTTATAAAAAATGCATTTATTTTTTATAGTAATCAATCTATCCGTATCAAGAAGTCTTAAGTTATGAGCCCTCACGACCTCAATCAAGTATGCAACACTCAATCCTTACGAGATAGTACTAAATAGCAAACATTAGATTAAAACTTTGACTTAGCATAAGAAGACGTGGTTTATCATGTATGAAGCTCTGTCTCTGTAAGGTGGTGTGACTTAGTGGAGAATCACTAGCCATCGAAAGTCGAGACATCCACAATGGTGAGAGTAATGGAGGGTAGGTTCAAGGCGGTGGTGACGACGGATGATGACATGAAAGGTGAAGGCATGTGTTGTTCTAGTGAGAGTCAACACAACTACTGTTCGCAAGAATGATGGTCGACAGCTAGATACTTGAAATAGCCACTAGACCCACGTGTCATTGACTCATATGGTAAGGTGTGTTAATAACTCAGTGATACGACATCCTAGATGGCAAATCTATAAAGTCCTCAAGAGGGCACCAGTAAAAACGAATATGGAGCTAGACAGTTACTCAATCCATGTTCTAAAAGAAGTTGCTTTGGACAACGACACGGTTTTCAAAGCATTACTTTGACTTTTTAATTTTATAAAAAGTGATATATGTATCAGCCTGTTCGCTTGCTCGTAAACGATAGGGATGAAAACGGATCGGATACGAACGGATATCACTCATATTATATTTGTTTTCATATTTCTGTTCGGATTCGGACACGGATAGCGTTCGGATACATATACGAATATGGATTGACTCGGTTACGGATACGAATAATGAGTATCGAATACGGTATGAATCGGATTCGGAGAAGGTGAAAATCTTACAATACAAATATCTATTCGGATATTGAGTAAAAGCAGCGATATATATATATATATACATAAGTGCACAAACCATTACACCACTCTATGAGTCCATAATCCATCTAGATTAAGCTGAAAGACTAAAGAGTAAAGCAACAAATAAGATAAAGATACAGATACATCATACATCAAACATCATACAAGCACCAATCTTCGCGGCATGAGTAGAAATAGCCAAGCTCATGGCTTCATGGGTCTCATAGAGTCATGGTCATGGATTCAAGATCTACAATCCTTATATAGGCCATTTTTCATTTGAGAAAGTTTGAACAAAATGTAGTTCAAATTTCACAAGTGTGTGACATAGTTTTAGAAAGTCTGTATGAGATTCAAGAATTTGTGACTAGTGTTTGATAAAACTTTCTCAAATAGGAAAATAAGCTATGTAACAATTGTAGATCTTGCTGAGATGATCAAACTTGGTATTCAGAGTTTTTTCATCTGAGGTCATTTAGTGTCTCATTTGAGCAAGTTTGACCAAGTCAAATTTGGTCAAATGAAAAAACAACACTTTGACTCTAGTATTATGAACTCTAAATGACTTCAAATTGAAAAGTTTTGAATACCAAGTTTGTTCAACTCATCAAGATCTACAATTCTTGTTTTGGTCAACTTTCCATTTGAGATAGTCTGGATGGTTCAAATTTGTGATTTTTAAATTTTGATGCTTACAAACTAGTTTTCGGAACCCTAGATTGTCTCAAATTGAAAAGTTTTGAATACCAAGTTTGTTCAGATCATCAAGATCTACAATCTTTATATAGGCTATTTTTTCATTTGAGAAAGTTTGAACAAAATGTAGTTTAAATTTCACAAGTGTGCGACATAGTTTCAGAAAGTCTATGAGATTCAAGAATTTGTGACTAGTGTTTGATAAAACTTTCTCAAATGGGAAAATGAGCTATGTAACAATTGTATATCTTGCTGAGATGATCAAACTTGGTATTTAGAGTTTTTTCATCTGAGGTCATTTAGTGTCTCATTTGAGCAAGTTTGACCAAGTCAAATTTGGTCAAATGAAAAAACAACACTTTGACTCTAGTATTATGAACTCTAAATGACTTCAAATTGAAAAGTTTTGAATACCAAGTTTGTTTAACTCATCAATATCTACAATTGTTGTTTTGGTCAACTTTCCATTTGAGATAGTTTGTATGGTTCAAATTTGTGATTTTTAAATTTCGATGCTTACAAACTAGTTTTCGGAACCCTAGATTGTCTCAAATTGAAAAGTTTTGAATACCAAGTTTGTTCAGATCATCAAGATCTACAATCCTTATATAGTCTATTTTTTCATTTAAGAAAGTTTGAATAAAATGTAGTTCAAATTTCACAAGTGTGACATAGTTTCAGAAAGTCTATATGAGATTCAAAAATTTGTGACTAGTGTTTGATAAAACTTTCTCAAATGGGAAAATGAGCTATGTAACAATTGTAGATCTTGCTGAGATGATCAAACTTGGTATTCAGAGTTTTTCATCTGAGGTCATTTAGTGTCTCATTTGAGCAAGTTTGACCAAGTCAAATTTGGTCAAATGAAAAAACAACACTTTGACTCTAGTATTATGATCTCTAAATAACTTCAAATTGAAAAGTTTTGAGTACCAAGTTTGTTCAACTCATCAAGATCTACAATTGTTGTTTTGGTCAACTTTCAATTTGAGATAGTTTGGATGGTTCAAATTTGTGATTTTTAAATTTTGACGCCTATAAACTAGTTTTCCATTTGAGAAAGTTTGGATGGTTTAAATTTTGAAGCACTAAATGATTTCAAACGAAAAAGTTGTAAACAATAAAGTTTCATAACTTTTTGAGATCTACAATTTTTATTTTGATCATTTCTCTATCCAAGGTCGTTTGAATAATATCCGGATAATATCCGTTTTTAAATATCCGGATATATCCGATATTTAACCGGATTATCCGATATCCGCCGGATATCGATGATATTACATCCGTATTTGATATCCGCCTAAGATATCCGTTTTAGTATCCGTATCAAAAAAAATTATGGATATCCGAGTAACTATCCGGATAAGTGTTCATATTTGTTCTATTGAATCGGACGGTCGAATAAATATCCGTATTGACTCATATGCTTTCATCCATAGTAAACGATCATAAATTTCCAAAGTCCTCAAGAGCAGAGTTTTTCTCTCACCAAACCAATCCAGGTTCAAAGAAGTTGCTAAATAATCCACGATAAAGATTACGGCCTCCCGAATTTTAAAAAGTATATATTTTATGAAAGTATTTTTCAAGACAAATCTATTCATATGGATTTCACATTTCCAAACTCAACAACTTAAAAGTTATTCATGATTTATATTCCTAATATTTAACCCAAGTCTTGTCCAAAACGACTTTTTTTAGAACCTGAACGGAGCAAGAGGCTAAGAGGAACACACAAGGCATGTTGTGCTTGTACTGTTGTACATCCTAAGGCTTTGTTTGGTTTGGTGGAGATTGATCCCTTGTGAAGGGGATTAACTGAACAAGCCCTAAAGGAAGATTATTGTTAACACAAACACATGAACGACACAAGTTGGCCGCTTGTTTGAGAGCTTCATGCCGGAAGATCTGATCTGATCTGAATGAGAAGCTCAAGCGTTTTTCAGCTCTACCATCCCTTTTACCTAAAAGTCTGTATGCACTTGTCCGGCTTCCAGTGGCTCCGTAAGTCACAATCACATTGGCCATCATAAACCATTATATTTCAGAAAACTACCAATAATGCAATATTCAATCTTGTTCCGATCAGTTATATATCAGTTGAGATTTGAATGTATATAGTATAAACGTACAATTCACACGAAGCTGCCATCTACCAAGATAATTCACTATTTAAGGAACGCGACCAACCAGGGCTCCATCATTGATTCCATACGAGATAAAAGAGATGGCATATTCAATCTCGAGGCTTTCATCACTCAGGTTGAATTATGTTAGCGAAACATCTGTTCGACTCCACAGAAGCAAGCAACAATGACATAGAGTTCTCCCTAATTGCCTCAAACCATAAAGCGCCTACAAGCCCACCCGTGCTGCTGAACGTGTGGAGCCTTCTTAACTCTCTAAGGGAAAGTTCAAATGCGAGGATATGACGAAAAGCGAGCCAGAACTCAGCACATGGTAACTAAAGCCGGAGCGAAGATCTTCACTTCTTCCTCTTCTTTGGGGGCTGGAGTGAGTCTTCATCATCATCTTCCTCCTCGTTGTCCTCGTCCTGGTCGTCGTCTTCCTCATCCTCACCCCCGTCCTCCTCGTCATCCCCGTTGTCATCCCCATTGTCGTCGTCCTCGTCATCCCCATTGTCGTCGTCGTCGTCGTCATCATCATCGTCGTCGCCGCCACCACCCTCCTGGTCTTCTGGTTCTTCCTCATCTTCCTCACCGTTTTCCTCAGCATCACCTCTTTGCTTCTTCTTGTTCTCATTGCCCTTTGGGTTGTCATACCCCTCCCCTTCTGAGATGTCCTCTTCACCCTCCCCAAAGTCACCGTCCTCGTCCCCGTCTTCACCATCACCATCTTCATCGCCAGCACCAACAGGTTCAAGCTCATCACTCTTCTTTCCGCTCATCTTGAAGTCAGGCATGCCACAGATAGGACCCTGTACAATGATCAATATTCAGTTATCAACATTCAGAACAAAGTTAAACACTCAAGAAGCAGAAATTCATATAGCACAAATGGTAATTTGGATTCACATCTTAAGGTCACGCCACCATAGCATGCTTGAACACACATATATCAAATATGAAACAAGGTGGGAAGAAATGACACCATAGAAAGCAAACCAGATGTACCGATGCCAAGAAAAAAAAACTTTAGTCACAGCACACGCAGCAGATTAGTAGGCTACCATGATAAACTGGACATGTCAAGAAGCAAGAACATTAACTCATTCCTCGATGTGCAACTATATTGTCCAAGACATTGTGCAATAGTCTTCTTGGCAGAAAAGAACTGAGTGCTTAGCCAGGTTTCATCGCCTGAGAGAGACTTTATAGATACATTTTCCATTTTTACAGGGTGGGTTCTAAATGCTAAACGGCTAAGCCTGGTAACTAAGGAGGCTATAAACATCAAAGATGACTCACACACACAAAAAAAAAAAATCAAAGATGACTGTACTAAAGTACCGCAGTCTTTTAAGTTTTTCGGTAAGGTGTTGTTCTGTGCCGATGAGAGGAAATAGGATAGTTTGTTGCAGAATTTGCATGGTACTGTCAACTACTATACATGTGGAGATACAGTATCTTCCACCTCCACCAGTCGACACGGGCCTCATTCGGTTGGTGCTAAAAAACGTACTGTTCACGGCTGATTTTTACTGTTCAAAATTCCTCTAGATTACTTTCCTCCCAGCGAACGAACGGGGCCATGGTATCTAGATCTAAGAAAGAAAATAGGCAATGACTTGGATCTGCTGCAACTGTTCATGCACCAGTTTTGGAGGGTAAGCTGAAGAGTACACACAGCTACCCGGGGCCACATGCCTGGCAAGAGGGGCGTATAGATGAGGGCAAGAGGCCACTGAGCATGACAATCTGGCCCCACTGGAAACTCTGTCTCTAACAGAAGACTTGGACAACTGATGGAGGAAACAACCTCGTTGAAATATCTCTATAGCCTAGGGACCTTGCTGCAAAATAACCATGGACCCGGCTGCAAAATAACTGTGGACCAACTTGTCAGTCGCAGCTCGCAGCGCCTGCGGGATGCAGCAAAGTGCAAACAGCAAACACGCTGACGACGGACAGGCTTGGCGTTTAAGAAAAGCCTTTTCTCGTCCTGACGAAAGTACTCCTACAAAACTGTGTGCAGAAAAAAACCTAGATGCATATTAATTTCTCTGTGAGAGAGATCTGGACGCATAATAACACTGCTACAGCAGCCAGATCACTGTGCAGCGTCTTATAAAGTCTAAACCATCTTGCTTAGAAGTTAAGCCACTGAAACGGGACAGCAGTTTCTCACCGTTTTCTAGATGGGTAGGAAAAAGAAAATCGCACGAGTTGTTGACGAGGGAAAAAAAATATCTGAGAGATCGAGGAGGAATCTTTCGGTGTCATGGGAAGCGAATATTCGGGGGCGCGGCGCGGGGGGTAGGCACGTAATTAGCAAGCAACAAGGGGGAGCTTTTCCATTTCGTTCGTATCCTGTGGCCCGGTGGGCCCCCACTCACCACCCCCTCCGACGGAACTCAAATCCCGGACCCCGGCTGCAAAAACCACACCCTAAACCCGCCCACACAAATCCGCATGCGAAAAGTCAAAAACAAAGAACAATATCCCACCCACTCGACGGCCCAAAGCAAGCGGGCCTTGCACCAGTAGGATATTTTTCCTCTTTCTAAATAAAAAACAAATTAAAAGTGCAAGCTAATCGAGGAGGTTAGAGATATTAAAGAATAAAGAACAGCCGAATCAAAACCGACTAGAACGACAAGATGATGAACAGGGACATGGCGGTGATTTTTACGGATGTTACCTCGGCTGCGGCGGTGACGGCGAGCAGCAGCTTCTCCATGACGGCAGCGTCGCCGGCGCAGGCGTGTACGGCGGCGGCGGCGGATTGCACTTGCAGGGGCGCGGTCGTCACGGTGGCCATCTGGACAGCTGCAGAGGAGGCCACGTGGGCGGGGCACAGGGAACAAGGTCCGTCAGATGGGACAGAATACCGTTGAGGAAAACTTAAAAACTGGCAGCGGTTTTTACTTTCCCAAGGCCGGCCGGCCAAGGCCAAAGCAGGCATAGCCAGATTTCTGTGCTGTGCCCCCCTAATTTTAGCAAAAACCCAATCTTAGATTTGCTCGCAGGCAGGCAGAGCGCAAGTACAACAACAACTGTCAGCCAAAGAAAAAGCTCTTGGGAACTTGGGGTGGCCAAAAAAAACTGCGGATGGAACAGAACAGAACAGAACAGAAAGAAACATGGGATGATGAGCAAGAGGGCGCTACTACTTTTTCAGTTCCTCTCTCGTGGAGAGAGACGAAACTGCAATGTTTGGTACACATCTAGTAGTACTAGAAGTATCTGTTCTGCAAGGGAGATATTATTCCATAAACATGCATATAAAAAGGTACAGACTTTGCAGGAGAGGAAAACTAACATGAAACAGTTGATGAAACGACAGATTAGGAGGCAGCCTAGGCGTTAACAGAGGCACCGGATAGGCAGGAAAGAGGGCAGGAGCAGGGAGGTTACCTTGTTGCCGAGGAACGGGGCCTGGGAGGCACAGATCTGGAGGTTTCAAGGAGGCTGCTAGTGCACAACGGGCACAACTAGGCAAACTCCATGGCTGCAACGGGAGGGAGAGGAAAGGAGACTTTTTCACTCTCTGGAGCCTGGAGGAGGCTGGAGCAGGAGGGTAGAGGCGCCGGGCAGCTCGGGCAGGAGGGGCAGGGCAGGTGGTGGGCACAGGATTGGCCGTGCCTACTGATGGCTGGAGGAGGGCACATGCGTAAATCGCTGCTTTCCCCGGGTTTGAGGAGAGATTATGTGGACTGTGGACTTCAACGGTGCAAGGGGAAAATAAACTGATTTGGTTAATGGAGACGAAACAGACGGCTAGCGTTAAGCGCGGATGGATGGGATTAATTAATCGGTGTTAATCTTGGACCGCGCCATCGCGTGGTTGTCCGCTGGTTTTTTGGCTTTCCAGTGGCCTCTCGAGGCGAGAGGCCACACCACCAGGCGCTTTTCGCAACCACAAGTCAGGCTCAGTTTTTTTTTTTTCACACACAAAAAGAAAACAAAACACAAGTCAGTCTAACAGATGTCAATTTTTCATCACCGCTCACGAGCCAACCGCACGTCGCTAAAACGTCATTAGCGTCGCAGGGATGACGACATTCAGATCCTGCGTAGAGGACGGGCGTGCATTGAATACCACCGCAAGTAGGAGTAGGTGGGAACAGACTACCAGAGGACAACAGCCGTTGGAGTTAGGAGCCATCTGCAAAGAAGAGTTTCTTTTGTTTACAAGGTGAAATCTGGGGAATTCGTAAAAAATAAAATAAAAGGTGAAATCTGGGAAAGAGGGATCTGTTTTGCGTCAGGTGGAAACCCACCTGTTTCCTCCTCAGAACCACCCGTTCAGGTACCGCAACAAAATCCCCAATGCCCCGTGCGGCGACAAAAACCAACGTCCAAACAACGGGAGTTTAACTGAGGAAATGCCTGGAAAAGGGCGCCTCAGTATAGCACCTACTTTTGCGGTGCAACACGCCAACACTCATCGTGTCGGCAGGAAGCTACGTAGTACGTTCGTGCCTGCTGGTGATAAAAGGTAGAAACACTTGTGCTTGCATCAAAACTAATCAGAACGGCAGGGGAAATGGGGCCCGAAACGCGAGCGAGCAAGAGAGAGCAAGGCCAAAAGCGAAGGTTAGCTTCAACAAAGCTGAGCATCAGGCTACTTGCAGGCAGGATGCTTGGTGTAAAGAAAAGCTGGGGCAGATTAGTGGGGGGCGACAGCAAATCGAGAATGGGATTCCTTTGTTCTGATGGGCTAAACAGCTTCAAGAGCAATTCATGAATTTTCGAGTACGAATCATTCGAAACAGGGGTAGTAAAAAGCTCATACCTTTCCGGTTTGTCTGAGACAGACTGTGCTGGATAAATATTTATCTCTGCTCCTTGTAGCATAATAAACCATGCCCCCCCAAAGAGCCAGGCCAAACCGTGCCCTTACCCATAAATAGTTCATGCAACGCAAAGCATGACCTCTAGACTCAGATTCTGAATATTTCTGAAATGCACATAATTAAGTAAACAAGGGGCAACGTTTATTACAACATCACGGAGGGTAACATTGGCTGGATGTGGTCAACTCATCATTTCACAAATGACCTGATTGAGATCCACTACACTTAATTTTAATTGTGTCTGGAGAATCTAAAAATCAGACCAAATCCCCTGCAATTTTTTTTGCTTAAAGTTATTAATTAAGACTGCACTGAACAACTGATGAAAATCCTAAAGAATCAAAGGAACCTGGAGTATCATGTCAAACATAACTCTGAAATAAGCTCAATCAAATAGGATGCTGTATGAAAACAATGATAATCTGCGCAACAGAGGCTTAAGAGATAGCATAATAAGAATGCAAACATAACATATTAGCAACCGTTAGTGAGACAGTCAAGCACACAAAAGCATAATTATGACAGTAAGAAGTACATATAAAGGAATGTTGTCTTTCAATCACAAAAAAGTGTAATTATCGAAACAACAAGAGGCAAAAACTAGAAGTGACCAAAAAAAAAAGAACAATTGTTCCGCGAGGTACTTTGTTGAAGTTCGGGAAAAAAAACTAGAAGTGACCAAAAAACAAATGAACAATTGTTCTGTGAGGGAAATATGGTTTGTGAAATCCCAGAAACTATCAATAGTCAATAACCATTTAGAACTGTTAGCTATCAACTGTGGCGACAGTTCCCCACAGAAGATAATTGAAAATTAGAATGGTCTACCACCTGTAAAATTTTGGCAGGCTATGGTTCTCTGCAAACATTTAGTCAGAAATTTGTTGATTATACTTTTTAACTAAAGTTGGTCAGTTTGGCACTATTGCACTACTAGTATACACTAGTTGGACGATTTTTTTTCCTGTCATTGCTAGTTCAGGGTTAATGTTCAATCCATGCTATTGAAAGAGATTAAGTGAATACCAAGTTTATGCTGAATCTTTTTAAGCACTGAAGCAAATAAAGAATTGCCAACAGATGCAATTTACAGCATGGTAAGGCATTTATCTAGATTGGGGAAGGGGAGAGGGAGGATGTGATAGCGAAGGGTCCAAAAGAGGGTGTCATTAGCCCTTGAATGTAATAAGAAAATTAAATAACAGAAATGTGAAACAGAAGGTGCCTAGGCTGGCCTTGGCCATCCAGCACATTAGAAGTCCAACCCAGGACTTGGGACTCCCCCTGCCACTGCTCACCAGATGCCACCCTCCGTGCACTAATTGCCTCCAAGTGTGCTTTCGACTCTAGTGGAACTAGTACAGTGTTTTAGAAATTGCGAATTGGCAAGCGATGTTTGATTAATTAGTCAGTGCCAAGTGTCAACTGTATTACTTCAAATATAGCAGGCATCTATAATATCCAAAGACAGCATTGCACAACAGACCAATACAGAACAATGGGCCAGTGATATAAGATCATCAGAAGCAATACTAATTCTGCTGATGAAATAAACACAATTACACAATACTACTACTTTCATGTCATCAGAAGAAAAGGACCGTTGCATGTACAAGGATTAAAATTTATTAATATGCATCCACCTGATGGTTTCATCTTGGCCAATTCATGATTCACACGATGATTTGACACTACAAAGGTCAGCAGCCTAGAAATCTACCAGCAGTAAGAATAAATTCTAGTAATCTAACCTTTAGTGACCTATTGAGTCTAATAGGAACATTGCAAGAACAATCTTTTTTTCATATATTCTGAGTGTGCAAATATGAACAGTATATCCTAACATAGGCAATTCATGAAAAAAAATCAACATAAAGTGGGATAGTTCAGAAAATGAAAGCGCTAAAGTAATTAGTAATCCAGTTATGAAATGTCAAGGCATGACCAGTGTCACAGTAAAGCTGACACAAGAAAGAGCTCCAAATGTTATGCTTCAATTTCACAAAACTTTTCAAGGTATGAACACTAATTCCCAGAGATACCATATGTCAACCATCCCTCAGAGGCTCAGACCAAACCATCTCTTGGATTATATAAACCACTTACCATTCAAGTTATTTTGCGCAGCTACTGTTAAACACTGGGCAAATTTAGAAATAAACTTAAAAGTGCAACAAAGCACAGAGATACCATATGTCAACCATCCCTCAGACCAAACCATCTCTTTTATGGGATTATATCAACCACTTACCATTCAAGCTATTTTGCACGGCTACTGTTAAACACTCGGAAATTTAGATATAAACTTAAAAGTGCAACAGAACTTCAACACATTTAAGATCTTAAATGTCGTGGCCGCCGAACCCAACATCAAAGAAGAAATTTCCAGGTTTAAGGCAAAAGCCATAAATACCCCATAGCTCCAAACAGCACAGCAACTGCAGTTAAAATGTCTCCGATTGTGCCCACAAAACCATTTGACATGGTTGATAAGACCAGGTAACAGGCAACTAGCAAAAATACAGATATTTTGGTACATGAAACCCACTACAGATCCACAAAGTACATAATGAAGTCGCAATAGCAAAACTACATATTAGGCAATAAAACGACATAATCCTTCAAGAAAGTTCCTCCTTCAAATACTGCTACAAAGGCATCTGATTCAAATCCAGTTGTAAAATTCAACAGCAGGAAGCCTTTTGCAACATTTTGGCACCAATATAGACTTAAAAGCCATCTGAATGCAAAACCACATGAACGAACCATGACCCGCAGATGCCAAACTAAGATACAAGGAAAATAATCAGATGACTGTATGAACAAGATCAACAAATCACAAAGAATGCATAGAGAATGAAGGAAATCGAAGCAATATAGTAAAGGTGGGTCATAAAACAATGTTGAGAGTTGATATACCTAGTACTGTCAATATCCACCCTGGAAACCAGTGCCTCCAATCTGAGCCTGGCCCTGCCCAGCTGCCCCAGCCTGATAACCAGCAGCACTGGCAGCGGCGGCGGCCGCTGCCGCTGCCGCTGCAGTGCTTGTCTGGGTAGTTGCTTGGCCAACCTGAAACCCAGGTGGCCCTTGAAAACCAGGAGGAGCTCCAGCTCCTTGATATGCAGCCGCTGCTGCTTGAACACCACCTGCATTTGGGAAAGCTGCACCTCCTGCTCCAAATGCCTGTGCCCCAAAACCCTGAGCTCCAAAACCCGTAAGACCAGCTGTGTGTGCCTGCTGCCCCCCTGCACCTAATGCAGCAGCAGCGAAGGCCGGATTCATAGCAGCAAGCATGGCTGGCGTCATCCCTAGTGCAGCTGGGTTCTGCATTGCTGCAATCATGGCAAGCATTGCATTGGGCTGAACAAATGCCTGTTGCTGTGCACCTAATCCAAACATAGCAGCTTGCTGTGCAAAACTCATGTCAGGAACCGCAGTAGCACCATATGCTGATGCATCATATGGGCTAATGGCGGCACTGGCAGGAGCAGTCATCTGCGCGGCAGCGGCGGCCACAGATGCAGTAGTGGGATTGGAGTTAGCATTTGTATTCGTTCCAGATGAGCCCTTGGTCCTCCCATCTATGGCTTTCTGCACATTGAGCGTCTTGCCATCAAAATTCTTCATTGGCTCCTCCAAAGCACGGCGAGCACTCTCCGCAGACTTGTAAACAAACAATGCAAATCCCTTTGGTTTGCCAGTGTTCTTGTCAAAGCCCAACGGACCTTCTTCAATCTCACCAAATTGTGCAAAGTACTCATATAGGCGGTCCACGTCCACATCAGAATGCACATTACCAACAAATATCTTGCGCTGCATATTATCTGGTTGCGACGATGAGGAACCAGAAGCGTTGGTGGTGGTATTGGAGCTAGAGTTGGCATTGGTGTTGGTGTTGGAGCTAGGGTTCTGAGACTGAGAAGCTGGGGGCGCGGGACCTGAGGCAGCCAGGTGGCAGAAAGCAAGACGACCTCCGATTTGGAGCTGGGGGCGGCTGAGGGCGCGGAGCGCAGAGCGGCGCGAGCGGAAGAGGACGAACCCGTAGCCCTTGGATCTGCCGGACTGCTTGTCAGAGATGACGCGGCAGTCCTCGAGCTCGCCGAAGCGCGAGAAGGTGGAGCGGAGGTCTTCGGCGCCGGCGCCCCAGCCGAGGCCGTGGACGAAGAGCTTCCTGCTGGCCGGGTCGGCCTCCGCGGCTCGGCGCACGGCCGCCATCGTGGCGGGGCTCGCCTCCGCCGCCGTGCGGAGCAGCGCGACGAGCTGCTCCCGCGACAGCGGCTCGAGCAGCTTGGCGATGTCCTCGGCGTCGTCCTCGTCGTCGCCGGCGCCATCATCCTCGTCCTCCTCGGCCGCGGTGGGCTCGGGCGGGTCGTCGGTGATGGGGAAGTAGATGGTGCCGCGGGGCTTGGGCTCCGAGGACGCCGGCTCCTGGCGGTGGTTGCCGGCGGCTGCCTCGGCGGCGGCGGCGGCGGCGGACTCGGCGGGATCGACCTTGCGCTTCTTCGGCGCCATCGGGAAGCGAGCTAGGGTTTAGGCGCAAGCTTGCGGAGGAGAGACAGGGGAGACACAAGTGAGACACAAGGAAAGGAGGTGGAATAAATACACCAGGCCTTAATTAACGGCGGCCTGGCGGCGCCGAAAAGCCCGTGATAATTGAGCCTTAATGTAGAAGCCCTTACTAGAGGCCCACTAGCAGCCCTAAGTTTTTTCTTCTTGCAGGCTAGCCCGGCTCATTTTGGAGAGGCCGCATAGTGAAGCGTTCGTCGCCGAATTTCGGGCCCATTAGTGCAGCCAAACTGTATCGATTTCGGAACAGCAGGCAGCAATAGCAACAGGCAGGTGCGTTCCTACAGCCACAGCGCAACCACAATTTCGTATATGTTTGTAACTAAGAACTCTCTTCGTCGCAACAGAAGAACGAGAAAAACTCAGAGTCATTTATATCATTGAATTAATCTTAAGCTCTACTAGAACAGAAACCCGTTACCGCAAAAGTCTGACCAAACTGAATGAAAATCGTGCAAGCACCTACCCCTTATGTTCCAAAATAAACACGTCTCCTTCTTCTTGAGGTTAAGTTTGACTAAAAATATAGAAAATAATATTTATCGTATCTTTAAATAAGTTTATTATGAAAAAAAAAATATTTCATGCTCCATCTAATGATACTTGTTATAGAGTATATTTTTGTATATATATTTGATCAAATTTAAAAAAATGACTCTAAACAACGAGATGTGTGTTTATTTTGGGACGGAGGGAGTACTCCCTCCGTTCCAAATTATAAGTCGCTTTGACTTTTTTTGTACATCTATTTTGTTATGCATCTAGACATACTATTATGTCTAGATACATATCAAAATGGATGAACCAAAAAAGTCAAAGCGACTTATAATTTGGAACGGATGGAGTAGTAAAGAAAAAGGCACAAGCAAATAGCGTTGAGAACTGCTCCAGCCCTCCAGTACTATGCAAAGTCAAAACCTAAAGGCATAACGATTCCACCGGCATACCCTACAAAACCGGCGGCGAGCAGTATATATATACTATATAATATAGTGTATACGTTGTATTTATAAAAAAGAAAAATGAAAAAACATACCTGGACACCATCGCTTGATGACGGGAGGCCCATGTAACGCGGCCCACTCGGCAAGTGAACCCATACGGTATGCGCGCTCTGAGTCTCCAACTCTGTACACGACGTTACATGGGCCACGGAGGAACACACCGCCTGCGCCTGACGCCCTGACCGGATGAGTCGAGTCGGTGCCGTCCTGCCGCCCTGGCCCCTAGTGCCTGCCGGCTACCGCCCTCCGCACTGCTCTCAATTGGAGGATCGTCGTCTATTTCTCGCACGTCTCGTTTGCAATATTTACTGTAATTTAATCTTGGCTCTTCAGGTTTTTTTAGAAAATTATTGTTTAGCCTTTTGAATGATTGTCTAGTCATTCTCGTTGAGTGAGATATTTTTTTTAAAGTTGATGAAAATGATATAGTCAAGACATTCATGTCTCTTCGTAAACGTCGAATAAACCAGTGAGAAAAATAGCATTGTAAGTCTCTGGTACTCTTTTATGCCTATATTTGAACTATTTATATTGTTTTCAGTGGATGGTCTGAATCTAATCCTTGAATTTATCTAATCACATTGTAAAATTTACAATTATTACCGAATTATATATGAAAATTTTTGAGCGGCATATCTCTAAACTAAAATTCTAGATTCGCCACTACACTGACTCATGGGTTGCATCTTGCATGCATTGCTCTTTGCTCACCAGCCACAGCTACACTCTCCTTAAAGGTGCACGAACAATTCAAGGCCCGCCATGGTGACGCACACAGCGTTCTTCCTCTCCACAACTTTAGGCTTCCTGTGCCCACTCCTCTGGAGGCAATGCGCCCCATGGGGCCTGCAGTGCACACGCATGGGCACCGCTGATGGATGGCTCAAGGGGAGCCCTACCGACCCAACCCAGCCTCCCGGTGCCTGTCCAGATAAAGAAAATGTGAGGCAGAGATGGCATTGCCTGCTCCATTCTCTCCATACACTGTCCAAATTATTGGCTCCAGTGGGGCATGGTATTTCCCACCAATTCGTTCTTTGCTGGAAGCCCGAGCTTCACTCTCTTGTCCTCCCATTTTCTTTCTTTTTTCAGAAATAAAAGGCATGTACCCTCCTCTTAATGAAAAACGGGTTGACCACCCGATCGAGAGAAAAAAAAGAAATAAAAGGCATGCATGCTGCTATCCCATGATCCCGTTCATTATATTCATATATATGCATCACCAATATGTTTGCAGCTTCAGAAAAGAAAAGAAGAGGGTGCAGGGTGCAGTGGGTTACTGGCGCTGCACAGTGTGCTTGCTGACAGCAGATAAGTATGGTATCGAAAAGAAAAGGTCGTTTGATTATTATCTGGTTGTTGTTCATCATGTGGATGTTATTAATATAAGACCCGATGTAGAAACAGCCTATCCAATAATTGATGCGTTGATCTCGTTCTGATCTGATCACCGATGAAGCAAAGTCACTGCTCCCTCTTCCCGTTGGCAGGTACGTAGGATGGGGACATATCTGCACCATTTTTAAACCAAGAGAGGAAGAGATACGTTTGTATCCAAAACATGTAGCAAGGAGTGGTTATATTGGCCGTTGCATATTGTTAATGCTGTCCATGCATGATACATATCTTGTAACCATACCTAACAGGATTGCTCATGCAAGCGGCAAGCTTATCTGAACAGGACGCAATGCAAAATCATATGTGCACTGCACACAAAGTCAGTCAAAAGCTGGGGTTCCTAGGTTCCTTGGACCAACACGAAATGCCTTCCTTCCTTCGTCCAGTGAGCAGCTCTGCAGCTGCACGCCTTGATACCCATGCCATGATGATCTCTGTCAGCGGAATCCGGTCTCCACCAACAGATCGCACATGACCAGGTCTTCACGGTTGGCACCACCTGCTCCCGAATCACCTGCTCCCGAATCGCCCGAGGCTGGCTAGGCCACGCGCCCGAGTCATCAGCGCCATGCGCGCACCTCACGACTTCGGTGCCCACGCTCGAGCGGTCACCACAGCATGTAGATCCGCTTAGCACGCGCCCGCTCTCGCCTGTACGCAGCTGGCCAAAGGCCACTGCCACAGTTGTACTATATATGTAAATCACCTGAGAGCAATACAAGTTGTCCAGTTGATCTATACAATTCTACAATCTCTTTTAGGCTTTTAGCTATGCAAATGGACAGTAAAGTAACGGCACGCAGTCTATGTCTATCCAGCTATCCAAGACGAGCTTGCGTCTCCCTCTCCTCCAACTGCCACGACTTCCTGACCCTCTCTCCGTCTCCGTGCTGCTGAGTAGATTTGCGTTCCTGACTGACGTGAGGAAGAAGACACCGAGTCAGTTTGGCCTTGTCACCCATCGCAACGGCACTGCAGTAAGGCCGGATTCAGAGTTTCAGACAGTTTTAGCTTCTCCTCAGACTGAATGAACATAATTTTTGTAAAAAATATTCTGAAGATTTCATGGCTGAATGATATATCCATCTCAAGAAAGCGTCTGCCATCACGTATTACTGGACTTGTTCAGGCCAACTTTTGCAGAGATATACCCATGCGTATGCGGATATACCCTGAAGAAGACCCATCGGTGCTAGCCCTTTTGAACTTTCAGGCCTAGATGCAAGTATGAACAGCACGCTGATCATGTCGGCCACAGCAGACTTTTTTCCTACCGAAAAAGAAACGCATGACCAGACGCATTTTCTTCTCGGGCCACAAGCAGAGAGACGAACGACCAAAAGCGCAGGAAAAGACACTGGGATCAATCGATTGCCTCCTTGTTTATTTCTGAATGGGTTCAGTTCACTTCACAAGATGTCACGCCTCACAATGGCCTCGGCAACCTCGATGTGAAACAGCTCGGAGAGACTATGGTATCAGAGAATCGTTCCATGGTACAAACCAATAGTCAAGTTCTGTTCTGCTTATATTAATCCTGCACAAATGAAAGATCGTAGTAGCAACTTGCAGCAAAGCCATCACTCGCCATCAGCTTAGGCCACATCTACTCACTGATCAATACTCTAGGCATAAAAGGCCAAGATCCGGCGTTACTTTGCATTGGGATCGAAATGCTACGTTCGTTTGCTGCTTTTTCACTGCCTTTTGCAATTAAGTAGCTTATCACTGTGCCCTCTCGCTCGTCGATTGCAAGGTTCTTTTGATCCTATACAAGAAACAATGACGATCACAGACCGGCCTGTTTCCATTCCCTTTTATTTTCCCGTTTTTAAAACTGCATGATGTTAACTTTTGGAGATTTGGACCCCACACACATGCATACAAATTGTCCTGTTGTGTTTTAGTAATCTTTGCTGAAACATAACTAAACTAAGGTAGAATGGAGGTTGTATGTAGCACTGTAGATATCTATCCGGATGAAAAACATGGTGTTTAGGACAAAATTTAGTCAAACCATAGGAACTACAAACCTCATCTTTGAAATTAGAGTAAAGTCCGATTTACCTCTGAACTAATATCTGAATTTGAAAAAACCACTCAACTTTAATATCAAACAACATACATACAACTTTCAAAACCGGGTAAAATATTGAACGCGTGTAGAATTGTGTTGAAAAATACTTGCAAAAACTCATAAATTGTGAAGGATTTTAAGAATGTATTCTAGGAAAAAAATTATTGATAAGATATGCATCGAGGACCGTGCAAAATCAAATGTAAGCAGTATTTTTATTTTTACTAGAGGGAGTTCAATCGCTGTTCACGTGGGAATCTTAGTCATATTCCATTATCCTTGTTGGCTCGGTGAAACGGAGTAGACTCATGTAGTCATGTATGTATATGTATATGGAGATCCAGCCTTACCGTTCCTTTGCTTTTGGTAGTGCTCCTGCAACTTTCTTCAGTTTAACTTTCATCTGTGCATTGTTTTCATGCGAATTCACGTTTTGTTGCTTATTTGCTAGGCTACCAAGTCGATGA